CTATTAGTAGGCAGGTTTGGTCACGTTGGTTTTTGACGATTAGTCTGGGCGTGTTCGCGGATATCTCACGATCTGTTGTACGGGTCATATATTATGGTAATCTCATCTTTACTAACTACTGGAGTGGGGTTGTGATTATACCATTTTTCTTCCACTGCGATCCAAAGCTTATACAGATGGCATGATGCAAGTATATGCATATTTTATTATGTCGGACCAATACTCGTGCTTCGCCAGTTGAGGACAGCCGGATATAAGATGATCTATTGTTTCTGAGTATTGTTTTGCACATTCGACATCTATCATTTGCTGTTATTTTGAGGATATGTTTCTCATAATGTCTTGTACGTAAGGCCTGGTCTTGGGCGGCCGTTATCAGGGCCTCTGTTTCACCTTTTACCTTCCCTCTCGTGAGCCACGCAAACGTTTGGCATTCATTAATCCCTGGCCTCTTAATTCTCTTCACGTATTGACCATGAAGCTGCTTTCGTATCCATTTATCCTTCAAGGTCTTCCTTGTCATGGCCTTAATATCTGTAGACAGTAATTCTTCTTCATCCTCGACCGCTTGATTTTCTATTTCCGGTAAATGTGTCTTTACAATTTTTATCGCTGACTTGACTACTGACTTTCCAACTCGAGGGTGCCTTTCACATCTCCAAATTTGTCTAACTAACTTATCATTTCTACGGCTTCTTAAATAATTGGCTATGGATACAACTGTATTATCATAAGTCATCTCTAATTGCCTGTGAGTCCTCTACCTCCTTCTTTACGACTCACTACATAGCCTGTCTACATCAGCTCTAGGATGCAGCTGTCCATGAATAGTAAGCATCTTCCTTGTTTTACGATCTAGGTCTGCAATTTCCTTCTGACTCCAATCTATGATTCCAAAACTGTATTCTACTATTGGAACAGCTATACTGTTGATGGCTAGCAGTTTATTTCGTGCTGTTAAGTCTGAACGTAGTACCATCCTAAGCCTTCTTAGATATTCTTTACTGATGGTCTCTTTCATTTCATCATTACACAATTCTGGGTTTTCATAAACTCCAAGATATTTATAGCTTTCTCCAGCATCTAGGTTTTTGATGGTAATATTTGCCTGGACTGTTATGTTTTCCGTTTTTTTCCACTTTTCCGTTCTTTATTGTCGCTTTGGCGCACTTATCTAATCCGAAGTTCATATGAATTGTGCTACTGAAGTCGTGAACTATCTTAATTTGCTCTTCAAGCGCTGTGTCCGAACTCGCGTATAGCTTTAAATCATCCATGTACAGAAGATGTGTTGTTGGCTGCTCATCTTTGAGTAGTTTATATCCCAATTTTGGCTTTTGATTTAGCATTCTGGACAGGGGGTACATCATCATGCAGAACAGGAGAGGTGATAGTGAATCTCCTTGGAATATTCCAGATTCGATTTTAATCTGCGGGGTATTATTGATAGGTGCATCCTTAGATTGTATCTTTAGCTGGGTGTTCCATTCCTTCATACTTTTTTCACACAGATTGATGATGTTTGGGTCAATTTTGAATATTTTAAGTATTTTCAATATCCACTGGTGTGGTACGCTATCGTAAGCTTTTTGATAATCTATCCAGCATAATGATAGATTTTTCTTTTTACTGTGTACGTCCTTCATTATCTTTTTGTTATATAATAGTAGATCTTTACATCCGTATGAACCTTTGCAGCATCCTCGTTGCTCAGCTGGAATCAACTGTTGAGCTATTAGGTGGTCATATATACGAGACGACATTATCCCAGTTAGTAATTTGTACAGTACGGATAAACAAGTAATGGGTCTGTAATTTTCTGGCTTAGAAGGGTCTCCTTTCTTGTAAATAAGATACGTGATGCCACTATTCATCCACGTGGGCAGATCTTCTTCTCCTTTTAGTATTTTTTTAAGATTACCGCTAATGTTTTATGGGTGGCACTTATCTTCTTTAACCAGTAATTATGGATTCTGTCAAGCCCACCGGCTTTCCAGTTGGCAGCTTTACTGAGTACATCCTTTATTTCCTTCTCCGTGATGCTTTCACCGGTCGTCATGCGTTCTAGGTGCTGATAACTGTCAATAGTTTCCTTCATCCATTCCGTGTTCTCGTCGATAATTTCCTTCCTGCGCCAGATTTCCGACCAATAGTGTACTACATCTGTCTCTCCCGGCACGTCTTGCGGTCTCTCAGCTTTTCCATTAAGTTCTTGGTATAACCTTCTGGTGTCATATTGGAATAAATAATTCTGTCTGCGGAATGCGACTCTTTTATTATACCGCTTTCTACGTTGGGCGTAAGCCTGTATCTTTTGTTTTAGTTGTTCTTCTACTCTTACCCGGTCTTCTAAATTGTTTATGTGTATCGACATTTCAATTGTTCTAACTTTCTTCTTGTTGCATTTCTCAATTTTGAGTTATCTTCTTCATGGAGGATTGAGAGATCGGATCTGAGTTTTGTGATCTTGGCCTCTATTCGCTTCTCCCAGGGGGCAGAAGTCTCGGTGTATCTATTTTGTAGGTGTCTGATTGGTTCTTCAGTTAATTTTTGATGTGGGCTTACTTTCATTGTTACTATTTTTGCTGTCGCATACAATAGGTGGTTAACCTCCGTAATATTTTCAATCAGTGTTTCTTCCAAGATTTGTGAAACTGCTTCGTTTGCTTGTTTTACTATCATCTTTAGTTTCATGTTATCTTGGAGTTTTGGTAGTTTCAGTCTCTCGTTTATGGGTGAAGATTTCGTAGAAACGTATTCTTCGAGAATCTCCTGTTTGATAGTATTATCTGTTTGATCTTCACTCATATCTTCTGTATCCGGCTCAGTTGTCACTGAGTCCAACTCACGTTGCTCTCTCACTTCGATCCGTATTGCTTCGCTTACTTTACTTTTCATCGCTCTTATCATATTTTCATTAAATTTTCCGCTGTTCAGTAGATATCTGCGCTGCGTTGCGAGCTTCTTGGAATCCATGTACGGTCTGCTATTAGGATTCCTACTTCTCCACATGTTATAAACCTCTGCTTCGCCTATTGATTGCTTTGCATTGGTATAGTATAACACCACATCAGTTCGTTAATTTCTTCATAACTCCAAGGCCTTTTAGTAAGTTGATTTATTCGATTCTCCTTAGAGCGTTGTTCAAGTGATGCTGGGCTCTGACCATGTTCATCAGGGTAACCAGCAGCTCTTTCCGGATGGTTTTCTGTGATCGTTATGGTGTTGAGTCCGGTTTGAAGGGTCCTTTGTGTTACTGATCTAGTGGCGTATGTTGCATTTGCCTGTGTTACCACAGCTGCGTAGTCTTGGTTTTGTCCATTCTCGTTCCTTTGTCTATAGCCTAGGGTGCTGTTAATCCGGGAGGATGCGCCACCCATCACACCTTCACTCCCTTCAGGCTGAGCATCACGACGGTTTCCGAAGAAGGGACCAGCCTCAATCACCTTCCCGCCTCGTAGTTTCGTCTTACTTCTCGTTTCATCATTTACAGTTAATTATTTTTCACATTGCCTCCGAACAATGGTGCAGCTCAGGGTTTGGCAGAATAAGAAGACTACCAAATCCCGAACTCCCCGTCTAGGGCCGTGGGGGCGACGCTCCCCATGTACCTTCCCTTAAGCCCGGGTCGTAGACCCGACCTTAAAAGTAGATACCCCCTGATTATTATTATTATTATTATTAGATTATTATTATATTATATTTTATTATTATTATTATTATATTATTATTATATTATTATATATATTATTATATATTATGATTATTATTATTATATTATATTATTATTTAATATTATTATTATTATATATATTATTATTATATTATGATTATTATTATTCTTATTATTATAATAATAATATTATATTATTATATTATAATTATTATAATTATTATTGTTGTGTATAGTGGACTGTATTTTATTGATTACATTTATGTTTTTGTTCAATGTATTGTATGTACATTTCATGAGAAACTGTCGTAATTGAAAAATTGTCTATACCGAACAGATTTTCTGGTTATGGTCAAAAGGTAGCTTCTTCCGGCCTCTCTCCGGTCGTCGCTCCGAGAGGAAGGCATCCCATTGGACCGTTCAAAATTCAACGGTCTTCCGGTCGGCAGTGGTAGGCTGCGCGCTGGATGGTGGCGCGCTCCTGCGGGAGATGGTCGAAACCCATTTTGCCAGTGGCGTAGCACATACATGCCCCGGGCCTGGGAATCCTGCGGATGGACAACCGGCAATGGAAACCAGGCGGTTGATAGCTCTAGAAGTCATTCCGTTCTCGTTTTCAACGATGCAACTCGGGGGACGCCGTCGGTGCCAGGTGACAGCTGAATGACTCTTCCAAGACGCCACTGGCTGGAGGGGCGTTGTCGTCTTTCATTAGCACTAGCTGTTCTATCTGTAGATCTCCTCGGGTTTGCTTCCAACGACAGCGCTGTTGCAGTTCGCTGATATATTCTTTGCTCCATCTAGTAGAAAATGGCTGTGCAGGCGGTCTAATAACTGGAATTGGCTCAATCTATTTTCGGGGGCAGACATATTTGTAGGTACTGGCAGAGTCTGCAATCGATTTACCAATTAAGAAGTGAGCAGGCGTTAAAGGGGTCAAATCTTCAGGGTCAGAGCTCAAAGGAATAAAGGACGGGAGTTCAATATAGCTTCAATGCGAATTAAAAGCGTTTGAAAGTCTAAAAGATAAAGTTTATGAAGTCCCACTGATCTCTTTAAGTGATGTTTACACCTTTTACAACCGGCTTCCCATATTCCGCCGAAGTGAGGGGAGTTTACTGGTATGAAATGCCACTTTATGCCCATGTCAGCAGTTTTGGAATAAATTGTCTCTGAATTCTCATTAGAAAGGTGTACATATACTTTACCTCTTTAACAGCCCCAATGAAATTGGTACCGTTGTCGGAGAATATTTCTAATGGCTTACCACGTCTAGCAATAAAACGATGAAGTGCTTGGAGGAAGTCATCGGTGCTCAATGATAACACAAGTTCCAAATTAATGGCTCGAGTACTGAAGCATACGAATAGAGCTACCCAACATTTTATAACTTTGAAACCTCGTCCTCTTTTGTCTTTGATTGCAAAAGGTCCCGCATAATCAATTCCGACATGCGAAAATGGTAAAGAAGGATGAGCGCGAGCCTTAGGCAATGAACCCATGATTGGTTGAAAGTTACGTGCAGCATGCCTAGCGCAAATTACGCATTCCCGTACTATTTTTCGTGCCAGATTGCGCCCGGAAATGGGCCAAAAATTCTCTCGTATGGTAGCTAGCAAAAGTTGCGGACCCGCGTGAAGTAAGGTCCGATGCTCATGTTCGAATATAAGTCTAGTAAGGTGGTGTTTTTGAGGAAGCACAATTGAATGCTTTTTATCATACGGATATTCAGCGTTTACCAAGCGCCCTCCAACGCGCATGATTCCGCATTCGTCTATGAATGGGTTTAAGCTAACTAAGCGGTTATTGCATTGAAGTTTACGATTCTTTTGTAAAGAACTGATCTCCTCTGAAAACGCTTCCTGTTGCGCTAATCGTATCAAAAAGGTGAAGGATCTTTCTAGTTCGTTTACTGTAAAATGCTCAAGCGCACGATCACCTGGTTTTAAACGTGAATTATTTATAAATCTCAAAATATACGCTGAACAGTGTTTTAATTTGGTTAGGGTGGAGAATCTATGAAAGGGAAAATGAATTGCTGGTGTGGAGGAAACATTACACCCTTTCCTCTGTTCCGGTAGTTCTGATAATAATATTGGCGAGGTTGGCCATTGATCGAGGTATAATAACCAGTCTGGTCCATGAAACCATAACTTTGAATGCATTAGAGAACTAGGGCTGAGACCTCTCGAGACAATGTCAGCTGGGTTGTCCAGAGTGGAAACATGATGCCATTCTATAGATTCTGTCAGTCGCTGAATTTCTGAGACGCGATTGGCTACAAATGGTTTCAAAGTACTAGGGTTGGATTTTAGCCAGCCCAAACAATCGTAGAGTCCGTCCAACAGTGAATGGAACTAAATGAGGTGTCAATTGATTTTGATATTTTTGCAATTAATTGAGACGCAACTAACGCAGCGCATAATTCTAGTCGAGGCATTGATTGAGATTTGATAGGCGCAACCTTAGATTTAGCGCACAGAAGGTTGGCGGTTTTATTACCACTTGCATTTTCAGATACAATGTATACGCATGCTCCGTAGCTTTTTTCCGAAGCATCTGCAAATGCATGCATTGATATTGCCGTTGCCTTGTCACATACTACCTTGCGATTGATGATAAGCTTATTCAAAATATTTAAGTCTTCTGCAAGACTGAGCCATGACTTGCGCATGTCAACTGGCAGCGGAGTGTCCCAGGCTATACTTTCCGCCCAAAGTGATTGCAATAGGACCTTAGCCTTGATTACGCAAGGACTAAGCAACCCTAGTGGGTCAAAGATAGTTGAAATTTTCGACAAAATTTGCCTTTTGGTAATATTCGCTGTGTGGTTAGTTTCAGAATGAATTTTATATGTAAGAATGTCTGATTCTGGACGCCACACGAGTCCTAAAGTTTTGCTCGTTAGATCGTCCTTGCTTGTGAAATCGACTAAATGATTACTGTTAACTGAATCAAAGCCCTTTAAAACATCTAAATTATTTGACTTCCACTTTCGTAATTCAAACCGTGCTTTTGAAGTATTTTGGAAATATTCTGACATACATATACGGCTTCTTCTAGTGTATCTACGCCCGTCAATAGATCATCCACGTACATGTCATTCTTTATTATTTTTGATATTGAGGGAATTCATGCTTGCATCTGAATGCGATTTCATGTAAGCAACGAATGGCTAGAAATGAAGCAGCTGTGGTGCCATAAGTCACTGTATTTAAATGATACGTCTTTAAATCTTCATCTGGACTGGAGCGCCAAACTATTTTTTGTAAATTTCTTTGATCTGAGTGAATAAGAACTTGTCTGTACATCATTTTGATGTCGCTTGAAAGAACAATATTTTTGAATCGAAAACGCAATATGACTGAAAGCAATCCTGTTGGATTATTGGACCTGTCATTTGAAGGTCGTTCAAGGAAAACTCCTGTCGAGGTTGGAGATGAAGCATTGAAAACTACTCTCAGCTTTGTTGTGGCTGACGATTCCTTCAGGACACCGTGGTGAGGAAGATAGTATTCTGGCTCATGATTAATGTCTGTGATTTCTGTCATGTGACCTAATGACGCATATTCCTTTAAAAAATCCGTATAAAGTTGTCTGAAATGATCATTTGAAGCGAATTTCCTTTCTAATGCAACGAAACGTTTAATTGCTACCTCTCGTGAATGACCCAGCTTGTCTGGAGATTCTTTGAATGGCAATGACGCCATGAAACGTCCGTTTTCTAAAACTTGCAGATTTTCAATAAAATGTTTTTCGCATAAACGCTCTTCTGGGGACCAAGCCGGGGAATCAAATGGGATTTCTTCCAGCTCCCAGAACTTTCTTAACTGATTCTGTAAAGGATCTGTTACTGACAAATGACATTGAGTTTTTGTGACTGGCATGGATAATGGACCAGCGAGGACCCAACCTAATTTGGTATTTTGCAAAATGGGTAAATCTTTACTAATGTTGATGCGTTCACTCTCTAAGATTTGCCAAAAAACATCTGCACCGATTAAAATGTCAATATTTCGTGTAACATTGAATTCTGGATCTGCCAGTTTGATGTTGACTGGTAAATTGAAATGTTGAATAGGAATATTATTGTCAGGAACCATTGAGGTTATCTTGTCTAAAACAAAACATGACATATGGATTGAATATTGACTATGTCTCGAGTGAATGCTTAATTCACACTTGTAATTAGCATATGACAGCTTGTCACTTATGCCAGTAACTGCCAACTTGACCTTAAACTTGGGTAGCTTTAGTTTGTTACATAGATCTGTGGTTATGAATGAGGATTGCGAGCCACAATCTAACAGTGCTCGTGCTGTTACGAAATGCTGTGTGCTTGACTTACCTGTGACATCCACCTGTGCTGTGGCAAGTAAGGCATTCTGTGCTGCTACTAGAGTGCATTGGGTGGCACCTACCTTGACCTCATTGGATTCATTGTGTGTATCATTGATCTCATCAACTTGGGTTACTGATACTGAAACATTTTGATTTGTGTGTAAAAGCGTGTTATGCTTAATGTGACATAGCCTGCATCCAGAAGATTTGCAGTCACGCGACGTGTGTTCCTTTCTTAAACAATTCAGGCACAATTGCAGCGATTTGACTTTGTTGAATCGCTCTTGTACTGATAATTTCAAGAAGTCCGAACAATAAAATATGCTGTGATCACCTTTGCAATTGTAACAAACTCTGTTTGATTTGCTAACATTTTCACCTTGATTTGAGATACCACTAGTGACTAAACCCTTTGAACGAGCAGAACCCTTTGAATATCTTTTATCTGATTGATATCGTGATGAATCACCTTTTGAAACATAATCCATTTCTAGTTTTTCTAACAATGTTGCTCTTTTTCTGAGGAAATCTTTAAACTCAACCAATGTGGGTATATCTGTATTTGATGTGTGCCGCTCCCACTCTTGGCTTGAATAGCGATCTAATTTACTGACTGTTAAATAGATGACTAGGACATCCCACTTTTCTATGCTGATACCTAACTGCTTTAGACTTTTTAAATGTTTGAAAAGATTCTCAGATACTTCTCTGATTTTTGCTGATGAAGCAGTGCTGAAACCCTCAAAGTTGCAAATTGCACGTAAATGATTTTGAATTAGAACCTGTTTGTTATCATACCTGTCTCTAAGAACTTGCCAAGCTATGCTGTAGTTGTCTGCTGTAAATTCGATTTCTTGAATTACACGGTTTGCATCTCCTGCTAATGAAGCCCGCAAATAGTGAAACTTACGTATGTTGTGTAGCTGTGTATTCATATGTATCATGGACTCGAAGGTTTCCCGAAACTCCATCCAAGACTCATATTCGCCATTGAATTTTGGTAAATCTACATCAGGCAGTTTGAAGCCATCATTTTGTGACTGAATAACATGAGTGGCCTGACCTTGTGTGTAAACTGATTGCTCTGAAATTGATTGCGTATCAGATTCAGATTGTTGTGATTTAGTGTCATCATTGTGATCATCATTGTTGTGAGGAATGTTGTTACTGAGATTACTTTGTGATTCTAATAAACATTTAGCTCTTGAGAGCTGAAGATAGAACTTGGTTTCAAAATCCTCTCTTTCTGCATAGCATGCTTCTGGATTATCTGATTCACATTCAATTTCTGACTGAATTTCATCGAAGCTGTCAAAAAGGGTTTCGAATTTAGTACACCGTTCTTGCATATGAATTATAGTTTGTCTGTCTAAATTTTGAGGCTGTACGCTGTTCAAGAATTTTTCAAAATGAGCCAACTTGGCTTTGATTGTGCCTCGTTTCCTGATCAAAACTGATTGTGCCATTGTGTAATTGCTTTATGTGAATGAGTATCGATAAAAATGATCGAAATTGATGAATTGGGCATAAATTGACACCAGTAAACGTTCTCACTTGAGAGTATATTGCTTTTCTAGGCTGTTGAATGCCTGCACATGTAATACGAGTCGAAATTCAAAGTAGCATTTGTCGCTATATTGACTGAATCAAGGAAATGGTAAATGGGTACCTGCGTGGATTTCTGTCTTCCACTTGTATTGCTGATTGCGTTGAACTTCTGTGAATATGGCGTGGATTCTTGCCTGCCGCCTGCACTTGTGAACTTGTTTCATGTTTACTTGCTTGTTTCACTGGCTATCCGGGTCGATTGGACCAAATGTTGTGTATAGTGGACTGTATTTTATTGATTACATTTATGTTTTTGTTCAATGTATTGTATGTACATTTCATGAGAAACTGTCGTAATTGAAAAATTGTCTATACCGAACAGATTTTCTGGTTATGGTCAAAAGGTAGCTTCTTCCGGCCTCTCTCCTGGTCGCTCCGAGAGGAAGGCATCCCATTGGACCGTTCAAAATTCAACGGTCTTCCGGTCGGCAGTGGTAGGCTGCGCGCTGGATGGTGGCGCGCTCCTGCGGGAGATGGTCGAAAACCCATTTTGCCAGTGGCGTAGCACATACAATTATGATTATTATTATTATTGTAATTATTATTATTATTATTATTAGTATTATTATTATGATTATTATTATTATTATTACTATAATTATTATTATTATTATAACTATAATTATTATTATTATTATAACTATAATATTATTATTATTATTATTATTATTATGATTATTATAATTATAATTATTATTATTATAAATATAGTTATTATTATTATTATCATGATTATTATTATTATAATAATTAATATTATTATTATTATTATAACTATTATTATCATTATTATTATTATTATTATTATTATTATTATTATAACTATAATTATAATTATTATTATTATTATGATTATTATTATTATTATCATTATTATTATTATTATTATAACTATTATTATTATTACTATAATTATTATTATTATTATTATTACTATTATTATAATTATTATTATTCCGTTTTCTGTTAGCTATTCTCTGCTACTGCAGGTGGTATCCTCAAACGCGGCATTATACTGCAAGCGTCTGAGTGTGACTATTGGTTTCTCTTTGTCTATGTGGCTACATTCAGGACCTTGCGTGCTACATGACAACTACCTAAGATAGCAGCTTTCTGAAGTGAGAGGTATAGTTTCTGCGGCAGATTTAGTTTCTCAATATATTTATGTAGACTCTTAGGTATTTCTCCTGTGGCTCCGATCACTATTGGGATGACTTCAACTTTTTCTTGATTCCACAGTGTTTTTACTTCTGCAGCTAGTGGTAAGTACTTGCGAACCTCTTCTGTCTGCTTCTCAGCTATGTTATGTGGGGCAGGCACACTAATGTCAATTATGCAGGTAACTTGCTTCATTTTATCTTGAACTACGATATCTGGTTTGTTGTATTCCATGGTGTGATCTGTTTGAATTGTTCTATTCCAGTATATTTTATGGCTGTTAGTTTCTATAACTGGAGTCGCCTGGTACTTGTAATATGGGGTGCGGTCAGTTAGTATGTTCCCAGCATAACAAATTTCTTGGTGAACTATTTTAGCCACGTTGTCGTGGCGCTTCAGATACTCAGTGGAAGCTAGGGGAGTGCAGCTCGTCAGGATATGCTCTATTGTTTCCGACTTGTTATAGCATATACGACATCTATCTTCAATGCCTTCTTCTTTCATGAGGTATTTTCTATAGTTTAAGGTTGGTATCACCTGATCTTGAATGCCAATCATGAAACCTTCAGTTTCCGAAAATAGCTCCCCACTCTTCAGCCATCCATGTGACGCTTCTGCATCAATGTGATCTGAGCTGAGCATGGCTGGATGTCTTCCATGAAGCTGTTTGGACTTCCATTGATGATACCATTGTTCGTCGGTGGTCACATGGGTTAGAGGTTCATACTGTTCATCCGACAGGTTCAGTGATGTGAACTTGTAGTCAGCTGAAGCTATATTTCTGTGATATGCAGATGTTTCGCATTTTCTATAAAAAAATCTCCTGAGGTTTTCTATATTCCGCAGGTTAGCTGCTTTAAGGTCAATCACGCCTCGTCCTCCTTTGGATCTTGGCAAGTAGAATCTTTCGATCGAACTGTTGGGATGTCTTGCTCTATGATTTGTAAATAAGACTCTTATGTTTCTGTTTAGCTGCTCTAAGTCAGAGTCTGTCCACTTGATTATTCCGAAGCTATATGTTATTGTCGGAATAGCATATGTGTTAATGGCCCTTACTTTGTGTATTGCGGACAGATGAGTCTTAAGTATTGATTTGACCCTACTCGTTAATCTTTGCTTTAGAGCTTCTTTCATATCTTTGAGTTTGATACCCCTTGCTTGATCTAATCCCAAATATGTATAGCTCTCTTTCTCAGACATGCTTCTTATTGTCTGACCCTGCTCCAACATAAACCCTGGGTGATCTTCCCATATGCCTTTTCTAATAGCCCCAATCTTACACTTGTCCAGGCCAAACTCCATTCTTGTGTCAGCACTGTATTTCTTTATGGTTTTAAGCAACCTGTCCAGTCCATCCTTAGTGGCAGATATTAGTTTGATGTCATCCATGTAAGCTAGATGGCTTATTTGTAGGTTGTTCTGAAGCTTATAACCTTCGTTCTTCTTGTGCAGCATTCTAGATAGAGGTGCTAATACAATACAGTACCATAAAGCACTTAGTGCATCTCCCTGGAAGATACCTCTTTTAATGCTGATTGCACCGATGTTGATATTTTCTTCTTTATGGGTTATTACAAGATTAGTTTTCCATTGAGGCATAAGGTTTTGCAGCAAATCTCACTATACTAGGGCTGATTTTATATATTTGGAGCATTTCAATTAATAGAGAGTGAGGAACACTGTCAAAGGCCTTTTTATAGTCAATGTATGCAACATACAGATCTTTCTTACAGCCCTTTGCTTCCTCCGTGATGATTGTATCTATTGTAAGTTGCTCTTTGCAGCCACGACTTCCCTTTTTGCAGGCTTTCTGTTCTTCTGGGAGCAGATGATGCCTTTCAAGGTGCTGGTAAATTTGATCGCATAAAATTTAAGTAATTATTTTATATATGGTTGGAAGACACGTAATTGGCCTGTATTTTGATGGATCGCTCACAGAAGGGAATGTTTTAGGAAGCAAGTAGGTGTTTCCCGTTGTCAGAAATGCTGGAATGGATTCTGGATCGTGCAAGAGGCTTGTGCAAATCATCGCTAACGTTTCGTGTGTGCGACTGAATTTTTTGAGCCAATAGTTATGGATGCCATCAGGTCCAGGCGCCTTCCAGTTCTGCGTGTTGTTTATAGATCTTTTAACATCCTCCACAGTTATGACGTTGTAGTGCATCATGGGTATTTTTTCGGTTTTCCTCTTTTCGTCCGCGAGCCAACTTGTTTTATTATTATGAGTCTTAGGGTTCTCCCATAGGTCCGCCCAATATGTTAATGCATCTCTAGCTTCTGGAGTTTTACCCGTAGTACTTACATCTTCGTTTTCCAGTGAGCGATAGAACCTCTTTTGATTCGTTCGAAATATGCTATTTTGCAGTTTTCTTTGATGCGACTCTTTATATCGCTTTAGGCGATTTGCGTATACAGACAACCTTTGTTGGAGCTTATCGAGGATCTGTATCGGATTTTGATTATCCTCATCATGATGTCTCTGGGTTATTGTTGTGACTTTATTTCGCAACCGGTTGGACGGGGCATCTGACTTGATGTACTGAACAAGGGGGCCTATAGCTGCTCGTAGATCTTTTATTTTCCCTTCGATCCTCATCTGCCATCTGGGTTTTTGTTCAGTATGCTTGTATGATTGATTTATCTTTTGATGGTGCAGTTCAATCACAGTATAAGCGCCGGCATAGATTAGGTCATGATAATCAGTTATACCGGTTATGTCACA